GAGATGTTTTAAGTGAGTCCACTTGGGCCAAGTGAGCGCTCAGGGTGGTGACCGGCTTGCTGGGAAAGAAGAATCTTCCTCCTGTCATGTCGCTTTCTCTTCCCGAGGAGTAGGTATAGGATTCTTGCTTTCAGTGTCTGTAACTGGGGATCCTTCCTGTTGGGGCCTGTATTTAACATCTAGAGGTGATGGGTGAGGGTGCTCCCCCAAGTCCCCCAATTCTATTTTGAATGAGGTTTCCTTTATTCCTTTAGCTCTGCTCTCAGAGCTAGGCAGGGACCCAGCGCAGAAGCACTGGCATGAAACTGAGCCCTGTCGGCTGGGGGCTCCTCCCAGGAATCATTTCTGAACACATCAGCACCCCAGGAGAAGGTGCATCTGCCTCTCCCTGCCCCCACACAGACCAAGGCCCCAGCCCAGCTCAGAGCTGCACGCATTGCCTTGTGTTCCCACACATATAATGGGGAACTGCGTGCCAGAGGGCAAGTGGGCCGCAGCCACCGTCTGCCCTCTGCCTGCCCGGCCCTGTGCCCGCTCCAGACGCCTGGAGCTGTTTCAGTGGCCGCCTCCTAGGCGTGGTGGCTGGAGGCCTTATGTGCTCATCCTCGGGGCCTTAGGCAAAGACCAATCCATGCCTTGCATTCCCGCCCCTACCACCACAACCCGGTTTAAAGATGGACGTGTGAATTGGGGCAGGTCCAGTCAGATTGTTGCAGGACTTGTGGGGTCCAACCAGACCAGCTCTTTCTCTATTCCAACTGGGACTGAGGGAATGCCAGGCTACAACAGCGAAAGGGAGGGAGGGCAGGAAAGAAGGGGTGATCTTGTTCCCCAGCGTCTATGTTACTATGAATGGAGACATTTCTGGTTGCTGAGACTTGGGAGGTGGGAAAAGAGCTCAGGGCATGCAGTGGCGTGGGCTGGGAAGGCCGCCAAACATCCCACAATGCATAGGGCAGCCCTCTAACACAGAATCACCCCCAAAGTGCCCATTGTACCCCGAGTGAGAAGCCCTGGCACAGGGACTTGGAGGCTTCCTACTCCCAGGGAAGGGGGAACCTGGATTTGCTGCAGGTGACTCCACAGAGCCTAAGAGTGAGCCTCACAGTCGGAGGCAGTTAAGAAGCAGATGAAAGCTGAGTCCTGACGACATCATCAGACCCCTGGATCCAGCCATGCCTGAAGCTAACACTGTCCGTGGACTTTAACATTTGTGGTCAAATCAATGACCCTTTGATTCAAGACTGTACCGAAATTTTCTGTCCCTTTCAAATTGTGGTGTGGTAAAACAGACTGGATACATGTCCCTGTCTCTTTTATAGATGGGCATCCCTGGGCCAGAGAGCCTGTGTGACTTGCCCAAGGTCACACCACAAACCCATGGCGTGCACAGAAGTGGTATTTGTTCAGTGACCTCATCCAGGAAAAACTTTATTTTTATATTAAAACAAACAGGCTTGTGTGCCTCAATGTCAAATTCACTTAACTTTTCAGATAAAGTGGGAGACTTCAGAAATAGTTTGTTCTTGATGTGACTGCTACAGAAGATAAACAAGTGTTCAAACTGTTATAGGGATAAAGGGTGGCATTGGGGCTGGGACCCAAGAGTTCTGACATTCAGTCCAACAGGCCACTGCACCCCAACTTCTCTCAGCTTCTTATGATCCTTGGGAAATTATAAAACTCTCACACCCATTTTCTCACCTGTATAATAATCCTGCCATCCAAACCTGGGTTGTTATGTTGGTAACACAGGCCCAGAAAACAAGGAGCTAGTCTGAGCTGTGACACTCAAAACTCAAATCTGGTGGAGCGAGGACTTAAACCCAGATCTTAAGGAAAAGCCCACTTTCTCCTGTGCTTTTCCAAAGTCAGCTTTTCCAAGCCCTCATAGAGCAGGGCTGCCTGGCATGCAGATCCCAGCAGACACAGCTAGAAAGTCCATCAGGAACTGTTCATTCTCCTCTCTTTGTCCGCCAACATGGGACGTACTGCAGTCCTAGGAGGTCCAAATCAGTGGCATCGAGGAAAGGGGCTTTGAAATCAGACCATGATGGAATCTCCAACCTGCCACTTAGAGGCTGTGTGACCTTAAGCCAGTGCTTTATCTCTCTGAACCTCAGCTTCCTCATCTGAAGCAGGGGACCCCAGCAGACAGGAGACATGTGAATGCATCTGTCACACAGATCTCCTTTCCAAAAAGCTGCTGCTCAGGCCACATTTGGAAGATGAAGTTATTGGAGAGGTGCAGATTGCTGTTGTTTTAAAGATTTATTTATTTATGAATACAAGCACTGCAGTACAGGCCGGTGGGTGGGAGGAAGGGGGGTGAGAGGATTCACCAGAGACAGAGCAGGGACAGATTAGGCAGGTTGACATACACTCCTGAGGGGAGCAGCGGAGAAACAGGAGAGGCCTGCTGCGCCGTGTGGGTCAGCTCCCCAGCTGGGGATCAAACTCATGCTGCGGTGGCTGCAGATGGCTTCATAGTGCTGCGCTTTAACACTTTGTGCCACCAGTGAGGGCCCAGATTGCTGTTGTTTTGAGAGCAAACAATAAAATAGATCTTGATCCATCTCAACAAGGCCTTCTTCTGCCAGCACTCTCTCCTTCACCCCACTGCTGGGGCTACTAGACCCCCACTGTGGGGCTCTGGCTTATGTTTTGCCGGTGTAAAATCCTCATCACAATGTCACAAAATAGACTGGGCACACTTTCCTCTGCCTGTTTCACAGACGGGCAGTCCCCAGCCTAGAGACTTATCTGACTTATTTAAGGTTACATGGTACATCTTGGCATGGCCTAAAACAGGGTTTCTTGGCCTTGGCACCACTGATATTTGAGGGGGTTGATTTCTTGTGGAGGGCTGTCCTGCACATTGTGGGATTTTAGCAGCATCTTTAATCTCTACGCAGCAGGTACCAACAGTACCCTACCCCTTCCCAAAACTCTCCAGACATTGCCAATGGCCCCCCCAGTGAGCAATCCCAACCCCTTCAAGAACCACTGACCTGGAATTCTCTTTGTTCAATATAACAACTCACTCTTTTCTTTGAAAACTTAACTCCAATGCACAACAATCAATATTTTTCTCTCCCTAACACAGAATGTAACCTTGTAAAAGCAGACAGAATCCATATTTCAATATCTACTTTTGGCATCTTCTTCTTTCTTTTTTTTTTTTTTTTGGCTTTAGATTATTTTTTTTTTAATTATTACAAAAGTTTCTTCTTTCTTTTTTTTAATGTTCCTGATGCTTTTATTCACTTATATCATTCATTTTTATATAATATTTGATGTCACCCTCAGGTGTTGTCCCCATAGATCCCGTGAACCATCACCTGTTCACAGTGACTGTGAACTTGTACTCCTCCCTCCCCTGTTTTGATCTCTCTCCTCTCCACCCCCCAACCCCCGCTGTATTTTTGTATTTTTTCAAAACATTTCTGTACTGATCTGTGGGAGAAAACAAAAAAATATTTGAACACTGTCCCTTTTTTCCACTGAGCTTTGAGAAAATCTCCATCTTGTGAACTCCTAGTATATCTCAGGCTGATAAGCCCGCTCATAAAACCAAAGCTGTGACCGAGGTCACACTAATAAGACTTGGACGGAGACACCATGATCAGGGCCATTCTGCTGAGTGCCTTGGTGGCTGGAGGTAAGCCCTGTCATCCGGAGGCAACTTCCTGTCCCCCATGGGACAGGCGTGGGGACTTCCTGCCCCCTTGGACTCAATCTTATAGCTTTAGGATGCTGGACTGACACCCCTCTTGAGATACTTCCTGAACAAGGCTGTCCCATCTGGGGTTTGGGACTGCAGCAAGAGTAGGTCACATGGTCAGGATCATGCTTCCTAGACACATGACTCTTTCTGTATTCACAGCTCTCAGCTGTGGGCTCCCCACTTACGTGCCCAACCTGTCCAGGGTGGTTGGAGGTGAAGATGTGAGGCCCAACAGCTGGCCCTGGCAGGTGAGTCACCAAGAACCCACTTCTTACACCTCTGTCCTTCACCTCACTCCCTTCGTCCTCCAACCTGAGGTCTATTGCTAAGAAGGAGGATAGAAAAAATCATCAGTAGAGTACAGCTTGGTGGCCTCCGTCAGTCTTGGGGGTGTAGGAGGGTTGTGCCACCCCACTCACTTAGGCATAAATTCAGACAGAGCCTTATTCTGATAACCAACCGGACGCTTGCTTGCAAATTACTGCAATCCTGCGAGCCATTCATCATCACCTATGCAAATATTCCTTGCTTAAAGAAACCAATCAGCGCTGTGTATGCAGATTCATTCTTAACTACAGGCAGATTGGTGTTGCCAATGAAAGTGAATGTTTCCTTACCTTGAAATAACTAGAGTGATATTAAGGAAATTACTAGGATCTGCTGGTTAGTAGGAGTCCCAAAAGAAATATATGAGGCTTCCATTGAGATATATATATATATATAGTAAAATCTCTCATAACTGACTTGACTGAAAGAATCGAAAAGTTAGTTATAGAGATATTATTAGAAATCACATCTATGTCCTTTAGACATTTTATTTTCATTTAAAACTTGTCACTAGACATTTATTCACTGATATTTTACATTCTTAACTGTCTCACATAAGCACCCCCTACATACTACATATCATTTACTTTAAATCAGAATAACTGAGATACAAAAAAAATCTCTGTTTTCATGATTTTCCTCAACTCTTCAGCTTCTCATAGACATCTAATTCCATAATAATCTTTTCATAACAATTTTTTTTAAGTCACAGTTATCCAATTTCTTCCAAGCATTTAACTTTCATATACACCACAGTTCTCGTTTGGTTCTACGTTTAGTTAATTTATATATTTGCAGTATGAGAACAACTGTCATAAACAGGCTTGGGGACAAAAGGCTGAGTTGGGGGTGGGTTTCCATTTAGGAAAACCATGAGTCTTCATGATGCCTCCATGCAGCTGTCAGAGTTTTACAGCAGCTGCAGCCATTCATCTCCCCCCACTAAGAGAACTTCACTAATAGAATGATGACTGATAGCCACAATCCATATACTTGACTCTATGCAATTTTGCCAGTTTTTGCTTTTCTTACACTCTCATAACCTTTTTTCTCTGGGAAGTGGGAAGATATTCCCATAGCAAATGTCACTATTTTTTTTTAATGCATTGGGTTGTAGGCCAGAGGTGCAGGGCCTGGAGGATTCACCAGAGACAGAGTAGGAAGCAGAACAGGGAGCAGTGGGGAGACAGGAGAGGTCTGCTGTGCGCTGTGGGTCACTCCCTGGCCGGAGAACGAACTCAGGCCTCTGGCCATGGCTTGATGGTGCTGAGACTTTTACCTCTGTGCCACTAGGGAAGCCCCTAACTTTTCTTTTCTTTTTTTTTAAAGATTTATTCATGTGTGTATGCAGAATTGGGGCACAGGCCAGAGGTGTAGGGGTGATGAGAGGATTCATCAGAGACAGAGTGGGGAGCAGAACAGGTCGACTGACAAAGTACACTGCTGAGGGGAGCAGTGGGCAGGTCAGGAGAGGTCTGCTGCACCTGTGGGTCACCTCCAGGGTGGGGATCGAACTCATGCTGAAGTGGCTTTAGCTTCTTAGTGCTGTGCTTCAACCCGCTGCACCACCAAGGAGGGCCTAACTTTTCTTTTTTTAATATTGCACGGAAATGTTGTTGCTCTTCATGACTGAGTTTTTGGTGCCCGAAGCAAGTGCCTGGCTCCACTTACCTAGTCCTTCTCTCAGGGAAGCTGAAGGTAACAAGGCCCAACAGTCAGAGCACCCAACACCCTTACCCTTCTCCCCAGGTCTCCCTGCAGTACAACTACAACGGCGAGTGGCGCCACACCTGTGGAGGATCCCTGGTGGCCACCAACTGGGTCCTGACCGCTGCCCACTGCATCAGGTAGTGCTGTTTCCCGTCACCAGGCCCTCTCTGCTCTCCGGCCGGTGCTCACCGACCAGGGTTGGAGCCAAGTGGCCTGAACGACCCTTTATAAACCTCGAGGCTGAACAAGAACAGGCTGCTGTAATAAGATTATATTATTATAACTTGTGCTTTATATTCTAGTCTCTATTTAATATAGTGGAGCTATGATTACTGTCCAGTAAATTCTCACTTAACATCAAGAGACTCTTAGAAAATGCGATTTTTTTTTTAATTTATTTATTCATACAGAACTGGGGTACAGGTCAGAGATGCAGAGGGTGAGAGGATTCACCAGAGACACAGAGGGGAGCAGAACAGGCAGATCGACGAAGTACACTGCTGAGGGGAGCAGCGGGCGGGTCAGGAGAGGTCTGCCACGCCATGTGGTCACCTCCGGGGCAGGCGGGAATCGAACTCATGCGGAAGTGGCTTTAGCTTCTCAGTGCTGTGCTTTAACCTGCTGCGCCACCAGGGAGGGCCGAAAAATGCGATTTTAAGCAAAACCAGGTCCTAGATAATGTTTCAGTCAACGTTGGCTGGGATTACTTTTTTATCATTATGGCCAAGTGACTCTGAACAAAATGACATTCTTTGAGGGCCTGCAGTCTACTGTAGTTACAATGTTATAATTAACCAGCTGTCCCCAAGTCCCAATGGCAGTCACTTGCGTCGGCCCGGCCCATCCCAGCATCGTCCAGAGCCAGGCCTCTGTGTTCAGCGCACTGGGGTGTCCCCGCCTGTGGGAGGCCAGAGAGGAGGGGCCCCGCGGCTGACCTCTGCACGGCCCCTCTCTTGCAGCGACTCCCGGACCTACCGCGTGGTGCTGGGCCGCCACAGCCTCTCCTCCGACGAGTCCGGCTCCCGGGCCATCAGCGTCTCCAAGCTCGTGGTGCATGAGAAGTGGAACCCCAGCCTGCTCTCCCAAGGGTACCTTCATCTGGATGCACCTGGGGTGGGGGTTGCAGGGGCCCAGTCAGGGGGTATCAGTAGAAGGCCAGGGGTGCAATCCCACCTCCTCTGCTCCATCACGGGAGGGGAGAGCTCTGACTCCTTAGAAGTGGAAAGAGCCCCAAAGGTGGCTGGGGAGGGGTGGGGTGAGGGGGGGAGGGCCGGGCTGTCAGGGTTGCTTGGGTCCTGTCCACCAAGCACCCACTGACTGTGTTTCTTCCATGCCAAGCCCTGGATATAGGCGTGGCCTGCAAGCCCGGTCTTTCCCAGGTCTCCAAAACCCCGTGACTCGCCCTAGGCAGGGGGTGCACCACCTCCCACCTTGCCTCTAAAATGAGCACCTGTGCTCTGAGCTGCACCTCCCATGCCCACTTCTAGGCCTGCACTGACTCCCCTCTGGGAGTCCCAGACCTCCTGGGCTCTGGTCCCTCCAAGCTGGGCACTGAGGGGCCCGGGTCACAGAGCCTGCTCTCAGGAGCTCGGAGCCTAAACGTGGCAACCAGGACATGCGGGGTGGTTAGTGCCTGGTTGCCTACAGATGAGCAATGACGGTCACCCTGCACAAGTGCCTGAGCCTAGCAGAGCCTCAGCTGCCTCTCCGTAAAGTAATAATAAACCTCCTGCTTGAGGGCGGGTGTGAGGATTAAATGAGAAGATACATGTAATCAGGAAAGGGCCTGACACGCCACAGGTGTGAGCTCGCTGCAGCAATGGCACAGCAACAGTGCGATAAGAAAAGTGCTGGGATGTGCTGGAACCTTCGAGGTGGTGGGGAGTGATCCCAGGAAGCATCCAGCTTGGTAGGGGAGAGGCGGGGAGGAAGAAGAAGGGAAGGTCTGGCAGAACCAGCCCCCACTGCTGCCCAGCGGTTCCCACTCCTGTAGGGCAGCCCGGAGAGGTGCCAGCGCTGATGCCTGGAGCGCTGAGCACAGGGACGGCACCAGGGAGCACGAAGCGTGAGCCTGCGTGGTGGCGAAAGGGACCCCAGGTTGGCAGAGAGATCTCTGGCCAGGAATCCGCAGCCTCCCACCTGGCTCGTTGGCTCAGCAGACACTGGGTCACGGGAACAGCTGTTTGCAGGACTGAAGATTGGGGGGGGCAACCTGAGTTTAGTTTGGATTTGGGGGGAACCCTGAACCTTATGGGACCGGGACACACTCTCTCACTCACTACAGATCCCCTAGTCCCTGACATTTAACAAGTGTTGAGCAAGTATTTGTGGAATGAAGGTTCCAGAGAAACTCTGGCCCTGAATGCTGTTTAGCGACGGTCTGGCCCTGGCCGAGCAATCTTCCTTGCTGATGCTGGAAAGAACGTCAGAGCCGCGCCCTCCGGGCAGCTCTGCCCGACGCCTCTGTCCTAGTGGACTTTGCAAGGCCTCAGCGCCCACGTCTGTAAAATGAAAATAAGAGCTGGGAAAGGTTTAGCAGGTGACGGGTGAGAGGCAACGCTGCCTTACAGTTCATCAAATTTGAAATTTGAGAACCCACTTCCTCCCTGTTCTAAACATTTCCCCTGAAAGAACTGGGGGGGAAGTCAGGACTCTGAGCCCCAGCCTGGGCAAGATGCAACCCTGGGATTTAGCCAGAGCTGCCCGCCTCATCCCTTGTAGCCCCAATGGAAGAGAGTCACAGGCTGGCCACAGAGGGGTGCAGTGATCCCAGCCCGGGCTGAAATCAGATATAAAGCTGGGGCAGGAAGTCTTTACGCCGTGTCTCTCTTCGCCAACCCAGCAACGACATCGCCATGCTCAAACTGGCCAGCCACGTCTCCCTTTCCGACAAGATCCAGCTGGCCTGCCTCCCACCTGCCGGCACCATTCTGCCTAACAACTATGCCTGCTACGTCACTGGCTGGGGAAGACTGCAGAGTAAGTGGGTGCCGGGGCCCCAATGCTTGGGACGAGAGGAAGGTGATGTCACCCCTGTCTGGCCTGGGGCTCCCTCCACACTCATCCCAGGGCTCTGGGGGAAATGGCAGCTGCCTTGGCGAGGCAGGGTGGCTCAGGCTGGTCAGAGGTCGGACTGCCTCAGTTCAAGTCCCACCTCATTTATTAGCTCTGAGACCTTGGGCACTTTGCTTAGCCTCAGTTTCCTCATCTGTAAAATGGGACCGCTAGAAAGCGCACAGGGTCGTTGAGAGGTTTGAGGAAGATAGTCTACGGACCAGTGCCTGCACATAGCAGGTGCTATGTGTTGCTGTCACTGTGGTGAAGGACAGTCACGGAAGGTGTATGACGTCTGGCTAAGGAGGGTCTCCGCACAGCCCCAGTGCAAAGTCCAGAACAGCATTCGCTTGACTTCTGGGTCAGGCTCTCCCCACATCAACATGCACCTGGTCCACGTGCCACCTGACCTCGCCACTCAGCACCTGGCTGCCACGAGTCTTCTTTTGACATAAGCCCCGGAGGTTAGACATCTAATGACAGCAGGCCACTGAGAAAGAAAAGGGATTTTACAGTCGCTTTGCTCATAAAATCACCAGAGGTTTGGAAGATTCTAGCAAGGCTCATGCCAATGAATGACTGATTTTTTTGTAATGATATAAACTGATAAATACGAGTGACACATTTTTCCAAGGACACATTAAAGCATACCCACTCAGATAACTGAACAGTGCCCTCTTGAAGGGTTTGGCTGCAAAAACAAAGACACGTGGAAACTCAGCAAAGTGAGCCACAGGAGGTCTCATACTTGGCAAGAGACAAGCACAGCCAGGGGTTCATTTATCCAGAAGATCCCAGGCAGAGGTTCTTAGCAGAGAGCCAGGGAAAGGAGTCTGTGCTTGTTTCTTAGCCCCAGCTCCGCTGGTCACTAACTTTGGGCAGGCCACTTTGGAGCCTCAGTTTCCACATCTGAAAATGCAAATACAGTTGGCAAAGGATTTAGAAGAGGGCAAAAGAGATGCAAAAATATTTTAAATATTGTGAAGTACTACCGCCTAATTAGCAAGCTTGGTCTTGACATGCTATTTAAGCTCCTTAACTGCGCTCGGCTTCAAGGCCCCTTCTGACAAATAGGACTGGGCTGTGAGGATTCGCACAATTTGAAATGCCTAATACTGCACAAGTGAAGGATGACACGTTAGCTCATCCTACCCCTCAGTGCAGTGGGAATAGTAGTGGAGTTGGTGGGTGGTGTCATTGGGGGTGTTAGGAAAACTCTACCTTCCTGTCGCTGTGGAGCTAGGTCAGCGGAAAAAGATGTGTTATAAGGACTTAGGAGCCTCAACCTAGGACAGAGACAAACCAGGGTTTGGGAACTGGATAGAATCAGGAGCTGGAAAGGTGCAAGAAGTTCAGAAAAACCTCTCAGAACTACTTGGCTCCCTAGAAGAAGGAGGTGGGTGGGAAGCCATGCCTATAATCCCCAGGTGACACCTTCTCTGGCTGGGATTTCTTAGTCCAACCCCAAACTCCCAGGGAAAGGAGCTCATTAATGGAGCTTGAGTCAGGCATCTGCCCCGAACCAGTCACCAGTGGCGAGTGCTCGGTACAGACAAACATGGCTGCTCCCTTTGTGGCCCGACGAGCGGGGTCAAGTAAGAGGGATTCCAAGAAAGGGGCCCAGGACCCAATAGATAGCCATGACTTCCTGTGTCCTCAGGAGTCCCTTTGACCCTCAACACCTTCGCTCTGGTCTCATGCAGCCAACGGCGCTCTTCCTGACATCCTGCAACAGGGCAAGCTGCTGGTCGTCGACTACAAGACCTGCTCCAGCCCTGGCTGGTGGGGCAGCACCGTGAAGAAGAACATGGTCTGCGCTGGGGGCGACGGCGTGATCTCCAGCTGCAACGTGAGTAGACTCTGGGGGCAGACAGAGACTCTTGCAACAGCACTGGGAAACACCCCAAGCATTTGAGTCCCCAACCTTAGTCCTTGTGGCCTCCGGAGAAGATACTGTGAGATTCTCATTGTGGTGTCCACTCTCCTCACTGCTGGGAAGCCCTTTCTTGGGTCTCACTGGGGTCTGTCATTACCTTTCTTTCCTCTAACTCGTTCCTCTACATAAGACTGGAGCCAATAGGACATTGTCATCTCTAGGGCCTTTCTAAGGTGACTTTGCTTTACCTGCTGAATTAATGCCATTAATGGCTCAAGGTGGCCCTCATGCCAGCTGTCACAGAGCCTTCCTGGATCAGCCCCTTAACACAGAGGACTTGCTCTGTGGCAGACCTTGCAGCAGAGGGACGGAGCACAAGGGAACTTCACGTTCTGCAGGCCACACTGTGCCCCCGCGCCCTGCCCACACAGTCTGGCCCGAGGAACTTTCCGCATGTGGGAGGAAATGCCTGGCAGTGGTTGACCACATGACAGTCTAACACTGGGTCTCTGTGCTTTCAGCTACTGCTGCACAACACCGTGCAAATCACCACCTGTGTGGGCTTCAGCTTTTCCTCTTGGGTGAAATGGGGTATGAACAACACTTCCCTCATAGGTGCTTGTGAGGATGAAATGAAGGCACACGAGGTGCTTAGCTGTCCCAGGCACACCTATGTGTTAGTTCTCGGTAGTCTGGTGCCACCTGGAGCGGGGGCCACAAGGACTGGCCTTAGAGAACATGGCTCCCTATGGTGAAACCACGTCCCTGCAAACTTGGGAGTCCGGGGGGCCTAACGGACAGCCCCTTCCCCTCCCGTCGTGTCACCCCAGCCTTCAGTCCCTCCTGACAGAACTCTGGCCTTCCTCAGGGTGACTCTGGAGGACCTCTGAACTGCAAGACATCTAACGGCAGGTGGGAAGTGCATGGCGTGGTGAGCTTCGGGTCCTCCCTCGGCTGCAACTACTACCACAAGCCTTCCGTCTTCACCCGGGTCTCCGACTACATCAGCTGGATCAACTCGGTAAGAGCCAGACAGGCCCTGAGTCCCGCAGGCCACGCTCAGGCCCCCTGAGGGCACTGCCCACTGAGAGTCTGGGACCCCACTTCTGAGGGCCGGTGGGGAGCGCCTGAGAGGAAATTGCACCCCTGGGCCTTTGCAGTCCCCAATTTCTGTGTGAGTAAAAGTGAGTATAGAGGCCACAGAGCCTTGTCTAAAGAGCTCGAAATGAATGCTGCCCCTCCCCCCAAGGATTAAGAGTGGGTCCATAGGGCTTACGGGGTGTTTTTGCTCATCTGTGGAGGCCCTGACTCCCCACCCAATGCAATAGTCTTATCTGAAAATCCCAAAACCTAATTGTTTGAGAACACCCCCACACACACACGCACACACACACACAGCTTTAATTAATAGAAATTAGTCATCTGGAAAGGAGTTTCCCCAGGACACGGAAATTTCTGGACTGGCACTGTCCAGATGGGCCTGAGTTGGTCCCACTCCTGCTGTCCCCAGAGAGCTTTCTACTGTGAGCCCAAGCCAGTCCCTCATAAGTGTCCACATCAGCTCATTTTTTTTTTTAGCCAGCAAGCACACATTTGTTTATAATAATAACCATTACACTTATTTATTTAAAACATAAAGCTGGCACCAACCTTGGGAGCAGTCATGGATACAATCAGCAGGCTGCAGGGGGGAAGAAGGGGTGTCTAAGGGGCGTAAGTGGGGCCGGTGGAAGGAGGCATTGGGCCTGGTAGATGCTGAAAGGGAAGAGGGAGACACTCTTCATTGACTGGGGGGCATTTTTTAAAAAGATTTATTTATGCCTACAGAGCTGGGGTACAGACCAGAGGTGCAGGGGCAGTGAGAGGATTCACCAGAGACAGAGTGGGGAGCAGATCGACAAAGTACACTGCTGAGGGGAGCAGCGGGCGGGTCAGGAGAGGTCTGCCACGCCATATGGGTCACTCCCTGGCCAGGGATCGAACTCGTGCTGCAGGGGCTTTAGCTTCTTAGTGCTGCGCTTTAAACCACTGCGTGGGGCTATTTTTTACCCCTCTGCACCTCACCACCACCTCAGTTTGCTCCTCTACAAAATGGCACTTGAACGAGACTAGGACTCCCCTGCACTTTCAGGAGCAGAGCAGGTGGGGCTGCAGCCCCCAAAGGGGCTTCTGAGCTCGTTATTTTAGGTTTGATTTGCAGAGAACTGTTCCGTTGAATCAAGTTGACACTCCGTTATAAAGCCAGATACGAAAGCACAGCCACGAGCATGTGGTCACGGGAGGAAAACTACACTGTCCAACGGGCATGTCAAAATAAGCTGGTGGCTGCCTTCAAGTGTTCCCATTAACGTCTGTCGGCTCCTTGTTCATTTGTCTGTCTGCTGGCATTTCTTTGCCAACGAGTGGCCAGAGGCACCAGAGATTCCAGAAAACACTATTGGAGGGAAATGAAAATCAGGAAAAGAGTGACTGTTCCATTACAGGCTTTGGATTTTGTTTTGGTAAATCAGAGAAAAGCTGTGAGTCCATTTGACAAAGGAAAATCTAGCTGGAGGTGCCAACTGCATTTCAAAGGAGCCTGGTCTGAGGCTGGATAAAGGAAGCGTCAAGGTCTTTTTCCAGACAAATCCTGGGGTCCCTGTCCACCCCAGCTGCTGTGTCGGTCTCAGGGCAGCTGGCCCTGGCAGCACCGAGGAGGCCAAAGCCGGGCCCAGGACAGTTGTCCTGAGGTTCTGTCCCAGCCTCAGCTGCTCCCAGGCACAGCCATGAGCTCACAGAGAGGGCGCAGCCGACAGCCAGGCCTGACGTTAGGGGGTCAAGCTGGAAAACAAACCTGGCGAGACAGCTGGGCTGAGGCCCTGTGTTCCCAGGACAGCAGCCAGCACAGGCACACAGGCCCTGTCACGGGCTCCGGAGGGGCCACTCCAGGCCACCAGCTGTCCCCCGGGGGAGGCTTTCCCGGCAGCTGCAGAGGGGCTGGTGAAACTTTGCCGTGGTCACAGCCCAGGGCCTCGCTGTGTGCAGCATGGAGCTCCTGCCAGGACAAAGCTAGACAGGTGACGTGCCAAGGTCAGGACGCCGTGAACAAAAGGTAGCAAGTGACAGGAGAGACAGGTGGCCAAGGACACTTGTCGCATCAACAAATGTTCTTTGAATGACAGCAACACGTGACTTGTCAGCCTTCGCCAGCTTTTGTTTTAAAAAGTAATGCATACTCTGTGAAAAGATTAATAGAGGGTAGCAAGGAAGAAAAAGTACAAGCTCTCCCTAGTTTCATGTCTCCAGTTCCGACCCCCAGAGAGAATCGCTGTTAACAGGTGTGTGTGGTCTTCTGACTTGACCGATGTGCACCAATGAAATACCTGTCTATGGACATCCACAGACACCATTTTCCAGGCAATTATGGGACGCCACGCTTCGTCCTCCTTTTTCTCGCCTCACGCTGAATCACAGTGGACCATCTTTGTTATTCTTTTGAACAACTCAGTAATACTCCATAGCACCAATACAAAAACAGAAACTCTCATGGGCTTCCTGTTTTCCACTCTCCAGCTGCAGCAATGAATGGATGTACATTCTTGCACATTGGCCTGAGTATTTGTGCTAGAAAGATGCAAGAGCATCACAGAGGGGACAGATTTAAGTGTTAATAGATATTGCTAGATGCAGCTGAAAACAGGTCACAGCTCCCCCTCCCCCACGATGCTTAACAGAGTCTAGCAAACAGCCATGTGCTTACACTTTCAGACCTCTCAATCCCTTCGAGAAACAAAATTAAAAACCTGGCCACTCACACATTTGACATACAATTTGTAGGAGTTCACGGCACCCTTCCCCTCCCAAGCCAGGGCTCCAGGCTAAGTCCCCTCGTCCCAGGAAGCCCCCAGCAGGTCACTGCAAAGCCATGGTAACATCCTTTTCTCTTGAGCAGTCAGAGCTCCCCAGGTGAGAGCTGCTTCCGCAGACCACGACTGGGCCAAGTTCACAGCATGGAGCCACAGGCAGGGAGCCAGGAAACAGCCGAGGTGCTGCACTCTGCCCCGTTAACCTGATTCTCTCCTTGTGTGTGTCCTGCAGGCGATGGCCAATAACTAACCACCAGAAGCCCCCCGGGACCGTTTCAGACTCGGAAAGGTCACAGGAGGAAATCAGTAATAATAAAGTGACGACTACATGAATCACATCTTGGAGAGTCATTATTTAGCAAACCATGGGACATCAAAGCAAGAATAGACGGGAGTCAGGACAGCACCCTAGATTTCATGGGCAGGCCTGCTCGGGAGCCCAACAGCCCACTGCCTCAGCCAAGAAGGCGCCTGGAGGCACAGGTGGCCTTGCAGACACAAGCCACTGGGAGCTGGTTCCCTGGACAAGGGACTGGACCTCCCCCAGCACCCGGCTCGGCCGCTTCACCTTCGGGGGGGGGGGGGGCAGATGGAATAAGAGATGGGAACATAGTTCCAAAGAAGCAAATGTCTTCTTTACAAGGAGGGGGAGGAAATAGACACAAGAGCCCATATTTGCCTACGACGTATTTTTTAAATACCGCAATACTGGCAAAATTAATAACGTAAAAATTCATGTAGGATTCACAGATTTCAGCCCGCAGACTCTAGTCGCTCCAAACTTGCTAGGAAAGATGCTGGTTGTAGCCAGAATTTCCTGTAATCAGGGGTTCTGAAAAAGTTGGGGGCGGGGGAGGTGTCCTGCAGGAGGACATGCGGCAATAACCCAAGACCTTCTGGGGGGCCACCTACTGGCATTAGTGGGTTGAAGCCAAGGGCGCTGCCAAATATCAGCCAGCCTGAGGAGTGGCCCCCACCGCAAGGATTACCTGCCCCAGATGTCCACAGGGCAAGGCTGGGCAGCTGGAGCCGCAAGCCACTGCACCGACGGCCCAGACACGGGGAAGGGCCACGATGGCCGTGATGGCTGCAGCTCTTCTTCTGTGATGTCATTTGTCCCCAGTGTGGCCGCTGCTAAGAGCCAGTCTGGGTTCACTGGAGAAAAAGCAGCCCCGCCCCCCACCTGGCGCAGGGAGGTTTAGGGGTAACAGGCAGGGGGCGCAGCCCGGCGTCTTTATGTTTTAAAGAAAAGTTTTTTGCGCAGGAAGTTAAAGCAGCCGGGCATCTGCTTGAAAACCCCTTTCTCCGAAACAGCATCAGCGACCTGTGAAGAAAGGGGGTCTGTGAGTTCCAAGGGGGGGCTGGGGGGGTGGGGGGAGCTCAGAGAATCAGCACTTTGAAAAAATGGCTAGAACTGCAGCCCCCTTGAGGGGGAGTCTGAAGAGCAGTGTCTCAACTCTTAAGTTTAAAATAACTCAAAATTTCAAAATTTAAGAATTCAGCAAGCTCTGATCAGCTCTGATCTGACTGAAAGGCCCGCTGGGAGGGAAGCTGAGAGGAGAGCTAGGGGCCAAGAGCCAAGGGCACCACCCGGCCCTGATGCAGCCCCATGCTCCGCGCACCTCCGGGACGGGGGATTCGGGGGTTCACCTCCCAGGGCCTGAGCACGGGCGCCCCCTACGGGCGGCTGAGCAGGAGCCCTGCGGGCGCTTTCCACCGCCCCCTGCTGGGCGGAGCGGAGCCTGCACCTGCGCAGGAGGTCACGGAACGGAGCCTGCACCTGCGCAGGAGGTCACGGAGCGGAGCCTGCACCTGCGCAGGAGGTCACGGAGCGGAGCCTGCACCTGCGCAGGAGGTCACGGAGCGGAGCCTGCACCTGCGCAGGAGGTCGGCACAATCCCAGCCCTGACAACCAGCCCTCAGGGCGCCGAGCACCTTGCCAAGGCCAGAGTGGCCCATGTAGGGCCCGGGCGGGAGCAACTGTCCTGAGTGAAGATTCACAGGTAGGCGGGGCCCCTCCCTGGCCATCCTTCTCAGTCCCGCAGGGCGGCCTTCCAGAAGGGAGAGCCTCAAGGGATTGATCTTGAGGCTCAAGAGTGAGGCAAAGGGTACGGCCCGCTGCTGGTGCCAGGCGCAGGCCACTGAGTCACACCACCCCCCTCCCTGGCACTCTGCAGATGGGGGAACAAGAGGCGACGCCTGGGGGCCACACAGGAGCCAGGAAGCCAGTTGTGGCCGACGGGAAATGCCCTGCCGTTCGTAATACCTGCAGCTAAGGGCAGAAGCATCTTTTAGCTCTGATTTGCCTGCTCACCCCGCCCAGCCTCGCCCTCCAGGCCGCGCTTACCCTGAGCAGGAGGGTCTGCAGGTCTTCAGAGTGAGCCCACTGCTCCAAGACGCGATCCAGGGTCTCCACGTACCAGGAGCCGCTGTTGGTGTCCCGCCAGGAGACAAAACCTGCAGGACAAAGTTAGCCATCAGCGGAGAGGCCCCACCTGCAGGTGCGCACACAGGCTGGGTCCCTCGGACCCCACGAATTCACAGGCTGGCAGGAGCCCCCATCCTGGCCCACTTCATCTCCTCCACCTCGTGATGGTGTCACCCAAAAAGGAGACCAGGGAGGAGAAAGGATGGCAGCCAGCACCGTCCACCTGAGGCGGGCACTGGCTCAGCCGGGGGAAGTGCACCACACCCGCGTGGCCCGAGGTGTGAGTCCATCTTAGAGATGAAAAGACCAAGGCGGGACAGGGTGTAGCACAGCGACCCAAGGGGTGCGCCGCCTCCGACTCTGTATCCTAAGTGCCTCCCCCGCCTCGCCTTGCGCTTCTGGACAGAAAGAGGCAGAGTAACTTGGTCACACAGCTGGAAGAGGCAGAACCAAGACACACACCCGGGATTTTTCTCTAGGGCAGGTGGGGAGACCCGCTGGCTGGGAGCACAGCCCTCCAGTGGCACTACCTGGAAAGGTGGAGTAGGACACGAAGATGTCACTGGGGGTGGGCAAGCTGGCCACAGCGTCCGTCTGGTCAAAAGGCCCCAGGCCGTCCTGGAAGGGAGCAGCGTCCGACTCGGAGTCGTCCTCAGGGGCTCTGTCTTTGTGGGGCACGGAGGCCACCGAAAACCCGTGGTCTTTCTGCTCTGCAGAAAACAGAAACGGCCACCGCTTGTCGCTGAAACCACAGGCCAGCGCTGCTCGGGCCTGGCCTGGCCTGCTCTCTCCCCACCCCCAGGCTGCCTGATTCCTTCTGGAGCCAGGGTTCCAGCGCTGGGCGAGCATGGCTAGGATGCTAAAATAGAAGTTCTATTTCTACAAATTTTATACCCATTAAAAACCGGGTGGGGGGCCCTCCCTGGTGGCGCAGCAGGTTAAAGCACTGCACTGAGAAACTAAAGCCACCTCCGCATGAGTTCGATCCCCGCCTGCCCCGGAGGCGACCACATGGCGCAGCAGACCTCTCCTGACCCACCCGCTGCTCCCCTCAGCAGTGTACTTCATCGATCTGCCTGTTCTGCTCCCCACTCTGTCTCTGGTGAATCCTCTCACCCTCCGCATCTCTGGCCTGTACCCCAGTTCTGTACGAATAAATAAATCTTTAAAAAAAAAAAAAAAAAACTGGGTGGGGCCCCTCCCAGGTGGACAACAGGTTAGGATGCAGCACTGCAGGATGGTCACAGCCGCTTCAGTGCAAGTTCAATCCCCAGCCCAGAGCTGACCCACAGGGTGCAGCAGACTCCTGGCCCACCCGCTGCCCCCTCAGCAGTGTACTTTGTTCTGCTCCCCACTCTGTCTCAGGTAAAGCCTCTCACTGCCCCTGCACCTCTGGCTTGTACCCCAGTTCTATATAAATAAATAAATAAATCTTAAAAAAAAAACTGAGTGGAAGAGAAAAGCAGACATTTAGAGAAACGCCCTAAAAACAAATGACAGTGTGCACACCCGGAAGAACTGAAAACAGGTGTTGGAACAAACACTTGCTGTCAGATGTCCCCAGCAGCATCATTCACAAGAGACAAAAGATGAGCAGAGAACAAAGACATGCCGCGGGGTGGCATCCGGCTTCCAGGGAATGACGTGCTCAGACGCAAGAGCACGGACGGAAAACTCGCCTAGTGAGAGAAGCCAGACGCAAGAGGCGCTACACGAAGAGCCAGAACAGGCAACCCTGCGGCTGGGAAGCAGCTGACCCGTTGCCACAGGGCGGCGGAAGGAGGGGCGGCAGCTAGTGGCTACGGGGACCCTTCTTGGGGTGACGAAAACTCCTGGAATGAGACTGCGGTGGTGGCCGCTCAGCCCCGGGAAGGTGGGTGACGCGGAGTTGTGCACGTGAAAACGGTGAAGCGTGTCACTCGGAAATGAGGCCTCTCGCTCGGCCCCAGGAAGGGCGAGAACCGACACCGCTCACAGCCCGGCGCTCAGCCCAACAAGCCGCCCGGCCGCAGAGAGATACCCCGTGGGTCTGCCCAGCGAGGGGGCCGCAGCGGCCAGCCCGCAGGCGCGGGAAACGGAAGCGAGCGGCCGGCCGGGGGCTGGGGGTTCCGGCTCACGAGGACAGTTTCCATTTTTAGTAAAAGATGAAGCGGTTCTGCAAGTGGAGGGGTGACGGTGGCACGCGAGTATACTTAACGTCACAAACGCTGCCCCAAGGTAAGATGGGTGGGGGCGCCTGCCTGCTGGGGCTGCCTGGGCACCTGGCTGGGGGGAGGGGCATCTCGGAGAGGGGCGTCCTGAGCCAGCCCCAGGTCACCCGGGCCACGAAGGCCTTGCCCGCAGGGGCTCGCACCAGGACCTCGCTGATTTGAAATGCACACGACGGCAAATCACATGTGGCCCTTCCTGTGTCTTCTCAGCAGGCCCCCTAAAAGCCTGGCGAGGGCCCCCAAACTCGCGGCTCGGCCTCACGGAGCCTCTTGGCTTTGGCCAGGTGCTTCACAGAGAGCCGCATGGCATCACCCCACTGTCTGACGTGTCATGGCCGAGGCACGCCTTTCCTGGCATGGCTTCTGCCTAAGTCTTAGTGAAGGTTAGAGGGCTTTTGAATGGTTTGGAATTGTTTTACACTGGAACAGCTGTGAAATGTAAAAGAGCAACACGAGCGTCACTAAAATCCAGAGCAGATCTCTGGTTTCCGGAGAACACAGAACACCAGGTAGGGCTCCCAGGGAAACAGGCTGCTCAGGCTGAGGTGGCGCCCCCATGTGGCCACAGTGCTAAACTGAGAAGATAAAGCCACTTCAGCATGAGTTCGATTCCCGCCTGCCCTGGAGGCGACCACATGACATGGCAGACCTCTCCTGACACGCCCGCTGCTCCCCTCAGCAGTGTACTTCTTCCATCTGCCTGTTCTGCTCCCCGCTCTGTCTCTGGTGAAGCTGCTCGCCACCCCTGAGCCTCTGGCCTGTACCCCAGTTCTGTATGCACAAATAAATCTTTAAAAAAAACATTTACCAAAGGGCACAGGGGCCTCACTGCATTCCAGCTTTAGAGTCTTGCTGTTCCCTGACTCCTAGTTGTTTCTTTTTAATGGCAGGATCTTACATTATCTCGAATTTTGTTCACAGGAGTGTTTTATGCGACTCTATTTCAAATTCAAATCATTGCAGTCTACATATACAACTATATTGCTACCAGCGACCTTGGAGAGCTGACCAGGGGATACAAGGAGGAAGTGCTATGACAAGGCAAAACAGGAGCTGAGGAGCACAAGGGTCAGCTAATCCTCACTTTATGCAAGGAAGGACTTTGTTGACGGAGGACTTCCTGGAGGTAGTGACACAGCTGTAATCAGATGGATGGATGACTAAGAGCTGGCCAGGAGATAAGGCAGAGGAGTGGCCCATGGAGAGGTTGGAACAAGCCAGAGCCTGTGACATCCTAGGCCTGCACCGAACCAACAAGAGTCCTGTAGATCGCTAACGAGTCCACTGTATGTGGGCCAAAGGGTGGGCAAGGCTGGGGGATATTGCCTAAGGAGTGCTGCCAGTCAGACAACCGTGGTAATGCTTAGGGCCTCTCTGACCACCCAGAGAGGAAACCCCATGCACGTGGTAGATGGAGAAGGAAGGCGGAGGCAGCACCACACCCCCTGGTTTCCCCTTCAGAGAGGCTGAGGGACAGCTCACCCCCACCGCAGGCCTGGATGAAGAAGAGCTTGGGCTTCCCTCCCAAGCTGGGGCAGCCGGCTCCATTGAGGATGTTCACAATTCTCTCGACAGACACAGGACAGCCGTCTGCACCGTAAACAGCCCCTGGGAACTGGCGGTGACTGGCCTAGGAGAGCAAGCAGCCAGGTTACCAAACCCAGAAGCCGGGATATGACTGACAGGCTATTTGGAGGCTCTGTGCCTCTGGGTCAGGCATTTAGAAGGTGCCAGCCTGAAGCACAAGGCCAGTTCCAGATGGACACCGGTCAGCATCTACTCCAGGGGTCTCAAACTCAGAGGCCTACAGAGGCAACAGGCCACTGGAGCTTTGTCAATCAGTTCCCTCCAGACCGATGGCCGATGGCCACTGGACCAGCACCATCAGCAGATCATGTAAGTCATGCCCCACCCAGACCTCTGAAATCAGAAACTTCCTCATGGGTTCCAGCAATCTACCTCTTTAGGTGCGGGGGCTGCTTAACACTGAAAACCACTGCTCCAGGTCATTTCCCCTGGACATCATGTGCAGGGGGCCCATCCAGGCGCAGCCCTGAATAAAGAGTCTGAGTGCAGCCTGGGGTCCACATTCTCAGCGCTGTTCCCAGGGAATGCCCCTGCTGCCGGCCCAGGGGCCATGCAGGCAACAAAGGACCCAAGGGGCAGTTCTGGCCAGCTGCAGGCCAGAGTGTGGTGCCTTTTCAAGAGAAGCCAGAAATCCCGGCTTTTGTATTTAAGTTACTAGCTTTGAAAAGCACGCCCTCAACTGAGAGCTGTCAACTTAACACCTCAGCTGAACAGACGAGGAGGCTCCGTGGCGGGAAGGGGCTGAACACAATGTCCCAGCACATCAGTGGCCAAGCCCAGAGCGGGCACCAGGTTCCTGGCTCCCAGCCAGCAGCCGGGGCCCTGGAACGCTGCCAGCAGGACTGAGGCAGGAGCTGGGAGCTCTTATGTGCACTGCCAGCTCTCAACAAAACCTGAGGGTAGCAGCTCTGTGAACACAGCTTGTCTCCTCCTGGGCTCTCCCAGATGGCTTCTCCAGGAACTCGGTTCCACCCAGGAGGCGCATGCAACTCCTCAGAGAGCCAGATGGCTCCCGAGAGAACAACAGTGGACGGGGCCTCACAGCTCCACCCACAAAGCCAGGAGTGTCGTGGGCTGCTGAGGCCGCCCACCTGGCAGCCGTGAGAGAGGATGACCACCACGCAGCAGTCCAGAGCACTGTGGTCCTGCTTCGCCAGCTGCATCAAAGCCCGGTCTATTTGCTACAAGAGAAGGTCACAGGTGAGCCAGAGACTGACTCTTGAACCCCACCTGGGCCCCCCCCCCAAAGCCTGGAGAGAGCCCCTTCCCTGCTCCCAGGACCAAGACTGAAATAATGACAAACATAGCAGTTATGTCTGCCCCCATTCTTGGAAAAAGGTGCTGTGCTGTGGCACTATTCACTGAACCCCCAACTGAGCTCCTGAGCTAAGACTCTAGTGGCCTAGACAAGGAAAGAGGCCGGGCAGCAGCCACCCCTACAGACCTGGGCTCATCCTAAGGAGGTACTGGTTTCCGGAGGGCCCCCTCACTGAACCCGGCCTCACCCCCACTGCACGCCCAGGCCTCTCCATGGACAGTGGCCACACCTTGGCAGTGAGGTCGCTCTTCACCTCCACCATGAAGTGCAGCAGGCCGAAGCGCCTCTGCAGCTTCTCACAGTCGATGTTGGAGCCCTTGCGGGTGCTGAGCTTCGACTCGGGATGGAAATTCACATTGTTGATGATGAGGCAGTGGCCGCAGGGGTCCGCCTTCAGGATGTACGCCTGCCCAGAGCACAGGGACCAACGTCAGCCGGGGGCTCCACGGGCTCCTCCGAAGAGAAGCTGACCCTGGCCCCCCTGAAGCACTTGACTGTCTGGAGGGCAATGGCTGGACATGAGGTCAGCCTGCCCTCTGCGGGAGCGCCCAGCACTCCAGGGCCGAAGCAGAGATTGCAGGCAGACTGGGTGAGAGCTAGTGGCGTGTGTGTGACATCCGAACAGCGGAACTTGGGAGAGAACTCCTGCAGCAGTATTTGGGGCCAGCAGCTGCTAGCTTCGAAATCCAGCCCAAAGGACACGCCAGACCACCCAATCCAGGGGGAGCACCCAGAGTGGGGTGGGAGGCTCCGCGGGCCAACTCGTGCCCAGCCAGTGCTCAGAGCATCCGGGGCCTTGTAATCCGGCCTCACGCAGCCTGCTCTTCTCGCGAGCGGCACTGAACACTGTGTTTACATATTTCCTCGGGTAAACCAGCCTCCGCTAGGCTTACGGGGGCTAGAAACACCAATGGTCAGTTCCCGGGTGTGCCAGCACGGAACCCTGAGCCGGCGCAGCAGTCACGCCAGAAAGGCTGCGGACAGAGGGGGAGTGACAGTCTGCAGTGGGCGCCTCAGCTGATTCTCACGCCTCCCCCCACCCCGAAGGTCTGTTCTGACTTCACAGATGAGGCCAGAGCTGGGTGGAGCAAGCTGCTCCAGGAAGAGCTGGAGGGGTCAGGGAGTGAGAAGGGGCTGGGACTGGGAGCCTCTCTCCAGGGGCTGGGTTCCGGGGCTCAAGGGCTCAGTCTCCCCTCCAGGGGCCGGGTTCCGGGGCTCAAGGCCTTAGTCTCCCGACACAGCTGCGGGAAAGACCTAGAAAGCAGAGAAGACGGCACAGCCAGCAACCGGCCAGTTGCACACAGACTCACCAAGTCAGCATTTCCCTTCCATGTCTCCAGGGTACCTGGGAGAGACACAGAGCGGGAAAGCATGACTTTCGGGGTCAAACAGGGCAGGGGCAAGGAGCTCCGTGAGGACAGTCTCCACAAACCCAGAGAAGCAGGAACTCAGCACCCCAAGGGCACAGCTGCCGTATGAAGCCACTTAGAAGTTTCTAATAACTATGGTGATGGCACAGGGTGATTTGGTGATGGGAAGCCCACGGGGATGACAACTGAGATGGGAAAAGGCTCAAAATGATGTAAAAAGAAACTATTATATTATTTTTTTAAGAAGTTTCTAGTAAAGCTAAACACACACCTACCCTCTGCCCAGCGATCACACTTCCAGGGTCGGATGCCAAGAGACACAGCACTAGCCATGATGGCTAAAGCCTTACCCTAAGGCCCAAGACCCATTAGCAAATTGATGGATGGACAAATTGTGACCCAGCCACACAAGGGAAGGCCGCACAACTTGGGAACAAGTGTATCTAGCGTGATTCATTCATATGAAAGCTTAGAACGCAGAAGGGTAAGGAAGCCCCTGGGACTGGAGCCTCTCTTGGGGAAGCCGTGAGGCCCAGCTTGCAGGAAGTCCTGGGGAATATTACAGGATGCAAAGGCATGAGGAGCCTGGCTGTGCTTCCCTCAGTGTTAAAGGGCTTTCATTTCCATCAGCAAGAAGGCAAGTGGCCACCAGCCTATAAGGTTGTGGGACGTTTTTTGCTTTGTTGAACCCAGGCACACAGTGCCTGCCTCGAGTCGAGTGGTGCTAGGTTACCTGCTGTTACTCAGTTTGCTCCACCCGAAAAGGGAACAGCTGTAGGAGCTGCCTTACGAGAGTGGAGAGGAGTCGATGAGGTCACTGCGTGTGCCAGTGACTGGCAAAAAAGTTGCACTCAACAAGGTTAATCATTGTCACCCTGTTAGCAACCACAAAATAGAAGGTGCTAGATTCTGCATGTGATGCCATGGAAACAAAGTCCGACCTGAAAACAATCCACCTGTCCTACAACCGGATGGTTAAATGAGGATAAGCAGAGGCCCCTCCTAGTGGCGCTGCGGGTTAAAGCGCAGCACTGCGAAGCTGGCTGCAGCCATTTCAGTGCGAGTTCAATCCCTGACCCTGGAGGTGGCCCACATGGCGCGGCAGACCTCTCCTGTCTCCCCACTGCTCCCCTCAGCAGTGTACTTCATCGATCTGCCTGTTCAGCTCCCCACTCTGTCTCTGGTGAAGCCTCTCACCTTCCCGCACCTCTGGCCTGTACCCCAGTTCTGTATGAATAAATAAATAAATCCTTTAAAAAATCAGTAGAATAAGAGCTACTACTAGCAATGGAGAACGAAGGATTGTTATAGATGAATGAATTTCACAAAGATGACAGTAAAGGAAGACAAACTCAACAACACGTATTGAAGGGTTTCATTTATGTTAAAATTCAAGGACAAGCTAAAGGATCTGAGCAGACAGAGATGAGAACAGTAATTAGCCTGGGTGGGAGTGGGAAGGGTGGCATTGGCCTCAGAGAAACCTAGGAGACACCAGACAGTTCTAGATCTTGACCTCCTGGAGGGGGGTTGAGATAAGTAAAAGTCACCCAGCTGTGCTCTTGGGATTTGCATATTTTAGGGTGGGAGCTTAGGCACTCCCAGTACCTCAGTTTCCTTCTCAACAAGGATGGACGGAGGAGGTTGCCAGGGTGTTGTGAGGGAAGGAAGGTGCGGAGCCCTGCATGTGCCAGGCCTGGGGCAGACACCCCAAGAAAAGGCTCCCCTGCATCGCGAAGCACAGGCCGGTCTGCGGCACCCGCCCTGACCCAAAGACAAATCCTGAACATGATAAGGGAAACACTGGTCAAAAACAGACTCCCACACCTGCTTTTCAGAGGAGGGGCTGCCAAAGTTACGTCTCCCAAAGACCTACCAGAATTTTCCACCACTCCCCAGGAGCACTCAGAAAGACAGCAGCAAAATTCAATTCCACAACTCAGCCTGCCTGTAGCGGTGGTCACCCCCAGACAGCTCGCACACCCACCCGCTGACCCTTCCTCAGTACTCACGGACATTACTGAATCCTGGAGGACTAATGTCTATTGGCCTGGACACCACCGGTCTGAGGTCCCTTGGTGAGAGCACCGCAGGCTCAATGTCCAGGGGCCTGATGACCTCCAGATCTTGCTTTGCTGTTTGGCAACTTGTTCTCATGAGTGAAGCCAAAGCATCCTGGCCTGCGTCCTCTAGGCAGGAGATGAACAAAGGAAGGGCCCGGCTCCCTCGGGTCTCTAGATCTGTGATCAGCTGTCTGGCCTGATCACGCCGTGACCCAGAGCCTGCGCGCTGTTTAAAAAGAAAGAAAGAGCTATTACCCACACACTTATTGTGAGCCTCCCCTTGCCTCCCCGCTCCCCTCCAGGCCCAAAGGTCAAAAAATGAGTCGGCAGTCATAGCATGTGCCACTTGCCAGCCTTCACTTCGTTCATTCACTGTATTGGAGGCCTCTATTTTGTTCCCAGCACTGTGCTAAGTGCTAAAAATATGGCTGGGAGCACACTCGGTCCCCAGGAAGCAAGCGTCTAGTGGGCGATGCAAACAGGCAAATCCACAGTGAGAAACAAGGAGGCAGGAGGAAAGCACGTGTTGCTGGGCAGACGGAGGGAGCCCCCAGGGCACCTCTCTCAGGCCGGAAGGATTCAGAAGCCCTCCAGGAAGGTACTGAAACCCTTTCTGGACCCTAGGGAACATCAGGAAGTGAATAGTGAATTCAGAGACAGGAGGCGGGGGGAGCAGTAGTGAGGGAGGAGACAGCTACATGGTCACGCCGGAAAGCAGTGAGGAGCAGTGAGGAGCTGGCGAGGAGCTTTAAGGGATTGGGAGGCAGAGCGGCCTGGTAGGAAAATTCGCCTGGGGTAGGGCGGACAAGAAGGGAGGGCGCCATATCCGGGTCAGAGAGCCGCAAAGATGGAGCAGCTGGAACAGAAAGACGGTAGGGAAGAGCAGAGAAATAAAGAGAGGGGACTGCTAAGACTTGAAAACTGAGTGACTGCGAAGTTAGGGGGCAGTCAAGGCTGGCAGGTGTGGGGATGGCAGGACTGGTCCCTGAGACTGGGAGCAAGGTGGGAGCAGGAGGACACCCGTTATCTGTTGTTGGTCCTTTTCACCTGCACTGGGTAAGTTCCTTAGATCCACAAGAATAAGACAGCAAGCTGCCCCTCAAATGTCTGTCCGCAGCACTGCCCAAGAGAACCTCCCATGACGGCGGAAATGGTCTTTACCTTTGTCATCTGATAGGGCAGCCGTCAGCCACACATGGCTACTGAGGATGGGGATACTGAAGGGTTTTATTTGGTTTCATTTTCATTTCTTCAGATTTAAACTGAAGTAGCCATGCGTGACGAATGCTACTATATTAACCAGCACTGACCTATAGTGTCACTGAGAAATAACCCACTAGCAAAACAGCTGCGTGCCTATTCAATGAGTAGATAGTGGTGACATTTTTTCAGCGTTGCCAGAATGTTCACGGTAAGACACTGTGTTATAAATGGACCATTTCACTTCGCCCTCCTCAGTCACCTGAAGGGATAAGTTCTAAGAACTCCCCACTTTACGGATGAGGGAAACTGAGTCTCAGCAAGGTACTGCAATTTGCTGACACATAAACAGAACCAGGACAAGGGCTCCAATCCGCGCGTATGTTTTTCAAATATCACAGGTGTGACAAAATGGTAGTCTGCTGTTGGCACGATGGTCTTTAAAAATTCTAAATTTGTTGCAAATATTCCAATCTGGGTATTTGACATCAAAAACCAAGAATCCAAACTTCCCGTTAAAAACATGAAAAATCCGGCAGCGCTGGATCCAACATTCGCCAGGAGCTACAAACTGCCCGTTCGGGGCATCTGTGAGCATTTGAGTTGGTGAGCACCTGCAATATTGTGATTTAGAAGGAAAAAATACATAATTTGTCATTCGAATGACAAAACTATTTCTCTCAAGTGTGCATGGCCTTCATGCCTGTGTGAGGACCTCGCCCTGTCCTGGCTCACAGCTCCAAAAAGCCTCAGAATTTAAGTAATGAGAGTGGTAAGTTATTTCTTGTTATGCTAATGAGTGACTTCTGGGGACCTATCTAAGGTCACCAGCAGAGCTGGCTGCCAGTGGAGCCGACCCGGAGGCTGGCAAACACAGCTGCCAGTCCCATCCCCCTGACCTCCAAGGAAACAACGGGGCTGGAGGTTGAATTCAATTGCCGATGCCAGTGGTTTAATCAACCCCATCAATATAACGCAAGCTCCTTAAGAAACCAAGTGGGTGAACCCCTACAATATCCCAGAGGAGCTTCAGACAGCTTCCAGGTTGGGGAACCAGAGCGCTTCCACAGGTCACAGGCCAGACCCAAGCTCCCCAAGGACAGCGGTGCCAGTGTGAGGACCTCGCCCTGTCCATCTCTTATCTGGCTGGTGATTCATGTCCTTCAATATCCTTAAGAATAACAATCAATAATCTAGTGAGTAAACAGGTTTCCTGAGTTCTGTGAGCAGCTCTGGCATATGAACCCAACCTGAGCAGGGGGTAGTGGGGACCTCTGTTCTGCAACTGTTGTCAGAAGCACAGGTAATAAATAGCCTGGGCTCCAGCTGACAGCTGAAGACCAAGGAGCAGGGCACAGGAACCTCCACCATGGTGAGGCCTTTCTCTGAGGAAGCTGATGCTCTCCAGGCAGGAATATCAATGTGGAGTTCAATTCTGACACCCTGTTAATGTCTAAGGGCTGCCTGTCAGTGTGGGACAGCTGCCACACACACATCAAAATCAGGTCCTGGAAGCCCCCCATTCAGTCCCCTGGCTAGTGCCTGCAGGCAACAACATGGCCTCAAGACAGCTCCACTCCTCAGAGGCCACACAGCAAGGGCTCATTGACTTTTTTAACACTATTATTCACTGGCAGTTTTCCATGTGGCCCTGGTCCTATTCCTTGCTGAATCAGGCCAAGCTCCCGGACAATGCAGACACTGGCCACTTGGCCTGCAAGTGGCCTGGAAGGCCCTGGCCAGCAGACTCTAGGAAGCACCCCATTCCTCGTGGGAGGAAATACCTCCTGTGTCTTCCTTCTACCTCATAGGCCTGTGCAGAGCCCCGAACAAGGCAAAGGCAGGAAAGAACTTTAAAAGAGAAAGTCAAATGTTTGGCTTTATCCTTGTCTCCATTATCTGCAACAGACCCCTTATGGCCAAAACCCCTTATAAAACATAAGCTTAACACAAGGGGGTCAAAGCACAGCCAGGCAAGTTGAGCCCTTACCCTGCCTGACACTGCACAGTTTCACATCCATTATGCTCACGGACTCCTTAAGACAATGCTACTGCCGTCGCCATATCACAGCCCAGGAAACTGAGGTTCAAAGAGGATAAGTGACTTCCCCAGGAACAAGTGTCAGACAGTAGGCTCGACTCTGAAAGGAAACTGGGCTCCTGAACAAGGGTTTCCCGAAGGGATGGGTCCCGGGAGGCACCGGCGGGGGAGGGGAGCGCGGGGGCTCCCTCATTAGGTCATGCTGTGACTTCAGCAACCCTCTAGGGCCGCCTGGCCATCTCCATTTGTGATGAAGCCTCCTCCCGCGCGGGGAGCGGGAAGCGCGGGCTGGGCGGGGATCTGGGCGCACCTGGATGTCCTCGATCATGTCCCGCGTGAAGAGATCGCGGTCCAGCAGGTGATCCCAGAGCAAGTCCACCTGCAGCTCGCGGACCAGTTGCAGCCGGCACCGCCGCAGGACCTGCCGGTGGGCTTCGTCCATAGCTGGAAAACCACCGAGACCCAGGCCGCCCGCGTCCGCTTCCGGGCCTCGAGG